TTATTATTAACAGATCAAATTATATTAACTACGAAGGAAACATTTTATGCTATTACACTTGTACCAAAAAAGTCACCTTTATATGTTTTTGAAGACAAAAGATTCTATTAAAGAATCCCAATAAGAATCCCAGAATCACAAAAACAAAATACGTTTTGTTGAAACACTTTCCCGAAGAACTTTTTTTGGGATACAGCAGTCCCATGTGGATCAGAAAACAGCCACAATGTTGTACAACTAAATTCGACGAAGACAAATACTACCTACTCACACCATATCCAACAATAATGCAACCATTGGAAAGGTTTTCACCTGAAAGTATTCGGGCTATCGCCCGCAACCCGAATATCGATTTAAAATTGATCGGCATATACTCTAAATCAGACATACAACACCACATTCGTACACAACATTTTCAGGAACTACTTACAAAAATGGACACAATACAACGGCAATCAAAAGATCAGAATTTACGCAAACTTGCAGAAACAGCAGGATTTTCAGACATTTGCGCACAAGATTACAGCGGATATTTTAAAGATAATAAAGACTACATTTATTTAAATGGCGAAAAATATCGACCACAGGATATATCACCAATCAATGTTTTTAGTTTTGTAAATCTGAAAAAGGAATTTCTTGCCTTTCTAGGATGGCCCTACTACATTTTAGAAAGATTGACTATTTTATATGCAATGTTTATTTTTATCGGTTTTCTTTTCTCTCTATTGAAAGGAATCTATAACACATGCGCAAAACATACACAAGTAAACCGACAAGCAAGCGTAGCACGTATACTTTCGGCAGGATTTTTTGGAATTTTTTTTATATCAAAAAACAAAATACTTTCAGATGCACAATTAAAAGAATATATTACAAAAATATCAACTACACCAAACACATATGACGAACCACAACACACTACAAACGCATCACCAACAGCACCACAATTATCAAATTTACATCATAATCACCCATTATCACTAGTACCACGAAATTTTAGAAATTTAGCGCTCTTTTATATTACAAATTCAAGACCTAATTATATACAAAGTCCAATTCACCATATAGTAACACAACAATCTCAAAGTGACGACACATGTGAACAAATAATCGAACAGCCCCATATCACAAATTTTCAATCTCAGAACAATCAATTTGTTTAAAGATGGATCCGCTAAGTTGGATCCCTTCACCGCTCAATTTTCCACCCAGCCAATATCCAAAACCCAATTCCCATCATCCCACTTTTTGCTGTCCTGTCACCTGAATCTTCCCACATTAACACATCGTCCGGCATGGATTCTGATGCTAACTCAGACATCACAGTTTTTCACACCATCTCCCAGTTCAACAATTCAGATTTAGAAACCCTTGACGAATATGATAATTTAGAACCCAGCCCATCTACATTTTCTCAACCCCCCTTTCAACCCATCCACTCCCAAGCCTAAAGTGAATCCCCCTCTACTCTCTCTCTCATCTTTCCCAAGTGACACCAACATACTCCCCTTTTATGAATGAACGCTCAAACAACAGTTCACCAGATGACATACAGATATCATACGAACTAAACAACCAAATAACACTGCAACAACAATTAAAACACCCTCAAAACCTAACCATTCATCAAATATCATCAACCATAACGTCATCAAACCCAACAACTCCCACACTTTTTTCAAATTACACCCCTTCTTTAGCCCAATCCCCAACATCAACTCAATCATCATCCAGTACTAACCGTGCTTACAGAACTTTTAAAGGAAAATTTCCCAGTCATCCATTTACCTCCAAACCCGGAATAGCACGAGACTACATAAGTCATCCTGACCATACAAATACTACCAAATATCTTCAATTATTTTTACCCTTCTTCCCTCAATATAGATATACTCACTCCGACCCTAACACTGAACAACCCAACTATGTCGATGAGCATGTATTAATCCCGACACTTCATTGGACATCATATTATCACTTCTCAAACCCACTTTGTTTACCACTCATTAACACACCGGAAGAAAAATAAAAAATAAAAATGACCTTTTCAGACTAACTAAAGCATTAACACCTCGACAATTTACACACGTAGGATACAAAAAGTTATTAAAAAAATGTTCACCACACCCCGAGCTAACGACTCTTCCATCGAACACTACGATCATTTTATCATCCGACCTAACCAAGATCAATTCCTCGATGACGACAAGTTCGCTAACCTGCAACTAACCGAAAAAATATTTCCATCCAAACACCTTACATTTTCACGCTCAATTCAATAGATAAGAAACATGATCACATCATTTCAGAAGCACTTTGTGATACTCAAGCTTATGAATCATTTTACGAAAAATTTGAAACCTTTTCACTAACTTTCAACTTCCTCACACCCAAAGAACGTGATTTGAATTGTTCACATGACATCATCTTAAGAACTAAACAAACACAAACTTACACTTACTATAAGTTTATACAAAATCAATTTGACTTACATACACTATCACGACAACACCATCATAGATATCATTTCATTATATCTAAATACACATCCTCGTTTTTTCTTAACTTCACATATTGCATTAAGTATACTAACTTTCAAGGCATCCTCCGTAATTATAATCCCATCAACCAGATGTATATATTCTGTCCCCTAACCAGAACCTTCAATGTAGAAGAATCCCGACCACTAATTGTCCAGCACGAATACATACAACCTGTCGAAGTTTCAATTTAGAATTTATACACAATACTAAATATAATCAGAAGCTTTTTAACCTTCTCCAAAACACACCCTACGAATTTTCTATTGGCACTGAAGAATTAAAAACCATTAGGGCACTCCAATTGCTTTGGCCGCTACTTCAAACTAAAAACATCATACGCATGTTAGCAAAACTACTAACCACATCTGATGCCATCCACGATGTTTTCCCCCATGGATTTTTTCCCAATGACTAAAGAAATATGAATTGAATAATTTAAAAACTAACAAAATCGAAATGAAACTAAAATTTCTTTATTAAAGGTTTTTTCTTTTTCTTTAGTCTTCAGATCACGATCATCTACAAACAGAAAAACCAAATAAAAGTTAGAAACTTTTCATAATTTATAAACATCTATTAACAAATCGCACTGATTGATGCAGTAAAATTTCTTTCCCACAGTAGTAAGTCAATATATAAATTCTTTTCCCTAATGTAGTAAATCTAAGAAACAATGAAAATAGATTAGAAATTTCAATCCCCGCAGAGCAGTAAGTTTAAAAAACTCAGTGGTAAATTTATACAAATGAAAGCAGTACTAACCTTTCAGAAAGACACTCCTTTCCGTATTTTACTTGCACACAAGTTCTATCCGGACTCGCACTGCTCGCCCACGACGAGTTGTTTAAAATAATGAATTTCAAGTTTTAACTTTCACTAATAACTACTCAAACAAGTATTAACAAGTTTCAAACTTTCTTTTAACCCGGTTGGAAAGGAATCATATAATAATCCAAACTAACCAACGCAGCTTACTAGACACCATAAACCATAAACTAACAGCATGACTGAGAAAAGAAAACCCACGGTACCCAAACCGGGTTAAACCAGCTTAAGAACTGGATAAATTATTCTTTTGAAGACTACTGATAAATCTAAAAAAGAAAGAATAAAACAGGAAAAAGTCGAAAGACAAACCCAAACCAAATACTTTGGTTTTTGAGAAAAAGGCACAACCAAAACATCAAAAGGAAAAACCAGTAACGAACACAACATAAAAGGTTAACACAAAACAGGACTCCACAAAAAACTAGCATGAAATCGTACTCTCACTCCTGGCCTAACCCACCAGAAGACGACGTCCTGAGCATGCTTTATAGCCGGCCTAACCCACCGTGCCAGGAACCACGCTTCGTGACCAACTCCCTATTTTTGACAAGAGCTACACAAGGGTGAGTAACTCTTCAAAAATAACAGAGTTAAATTGAAAGCTTTTGTGAGAAAAACTAATAAAAAGTCGTAATTAAAAACAGAACTAACAAAAATTTACAGAACTAACAAAAATTATCTAGTGCAGTACATAGATCACATAGAATCAAGAAGGCGAGCATGAAAGACGACCGACCCCATCACTCTCAAACTAGAGAATGGCTGAACACAACCGATATGCCGCCCATAATCACAACTCAAAAGATTTGAAGTACGACTTGACATCGCAGCAAAGGACTTTATTGAATCAGACCAACGACCACCTCGATGTTCAAGATGTACAGATCCGAGTTACAAGGCATCCCCTCCAAGCTCGAGCTTCACGCCATTCCCAAACAAAATCGAAACACAGTTCTCCACTGAACAAGATTTTGTTGGCGGTCACAGTCAATGTTGAATGACAAAATGATATCCACGACTCAAGCTTCCTGGAGCTTCCTCCTCCAAGAACGGAGAAAAATGATGATTGCGACATACAAACGAACTTCATCCATCCTCCATTACAGATAGATGTCAAAGAACAAAAAACTCTGTAAACTCCGAATGGGTGGAACCAGATCCAAACTATAATTTATTATTGGTTATAATTTATATATTTTATCCCTATAAAGTATTAAAGGCTAACCAATCACACTGCATCAAACTAACAACCCACTTATTTGTAAATGCTGAAATTACTTGTAATTTCAGCACCAGAGAGATTTGAATTTAAGTTACAACCTAGTTGCTTTCTCCAAGAGACCGAATCGTATCAAAACCAGTATACTCTAGATCTATTGAGACTAAGAGATATAAGAGTAAGATTAAGATCGGTATTAGATTAAGAAGTTGCACGAATCTATCCGGCCGAAAATAAGATAGCGTGGCGAGCAAACGGTGTACCCTATCTGAAATTACTCTATGAGTTAGACCTTAGAACATAACTCAGTGGGGTGTCCGCCCAAGCCCCCCCCCCTTAAACCCGCCCCTCCAACTAGTCCTTGTTCAACTTCCTCTACGATCTAAGTTCGTGTTTTAGAATGCTGTGGTGTGTGCTGAGGCTCCTATGGGCAGCGCTGATAATTCTACCAGCTTTAAGGCGGAGTATGTCGCGGGGGATGAGATGACTTGGGAGGATGTGGACTACACAGTGACTTCATCTTGGACTGAGACCTTCGACCAATCGGGTCTGTTGAATAATCTAAAAGATCACTCTACTTGTAGTCTTTTTACTAGTTTCGCCCAAAATTGCTACTCTTGTTAAAATATGAAAGCTAATAAAATGAGCAAATCGCTGAAAGCAAAAAAAAAACATAGGTTCTCAATTTAGAAAAAAATATATCAAATGTATATAACAAAACAGGCTCTTCTGTGTCTTGTCAATAGAAGTCATTAGGCTTGAAAATTAACTATATTTTATCATTTCAAACTCAGATTCAGAGAGTTTGAATAAGACTTGGTACCCTAAGTGGTACTTGGCTGTTTTCCACCCCCTTCACAGTATGACATTCTAGTGTATGGATGCGTTGGTATACTTCAATATAGCCCTTTTTGTTCCGACTTTCGAGCTTAAATTCGAAAAGATATTTCACCTGTGATCATTTTTGTAAAGTTATGAGGGTTTAAAGATTGCCATTTTGGCCAATTTGGGACAATTAACGCGCGATATATTTCGCGCTATTAACGCGTAAGCGGAGAGTTAATCCTTAGAAATTCGTCTTAGAAATTGTTCCAAATTGGTTGAAAGAAGCTTATTTGACATAATTGTTTTGTTACAAGGAGCGAAATCTGTCCTTTTGTACTTAATATGGCGTGTGGGGTGATGATTTTCATTTAAAAAATTCAATTTTTTAAAAAAAAATTCATTTTGTTTCATTTCATTCAACATCTTAAATGTTATTACTGCTCCATAATTATTAAAAGGCGGTCGGAACATTCATGGCTTCGCCCTGGTACGAGCAGTCTTGTTCTTTTTAAATAAAAAATTAAAATCAAAGATACTTATTCTGCAATGATAGCAAACAAAGCTGTTCTAAGTAAAATAGACAGAGCTATTGAAGCAACAATTTTCAAAGGCCTGAGTTATAATCAGTGGTGTTTCGTTTCAAATTTTTGCTATTACAAACAAGTCTGTGCTAGAATGATTCTGAGACACATAATATGTATGAACCTAAAGACTTGCGTTCATAAGACCTAAAGACCTAAAAACCTAATAACCCATGCGCCCCTGTGGACTAAAATTTTGAGCCATATAATTTCCATATTTCCATTCTGAATTTTTTGTCATATAATTCCATAGGTACAAAAAGTTATATGAAGTCTCAACAATAAACCGTTTCGCATAGGAGAAAATTTGTCAGACTAAAAATTTTGATATATAAGATATAAATTTTTCGAGTTTTGAATTTTTTTTTGTCGAAACTCAAGAATCAAAATTTTTCCTAAAAACCACTGGTTAGAAGACAGCATTCTTGCAGGTTAACTCTATAGGAAGATTTGCTATCTTGAAATTTTGAAAAAACCGGTTTTTTGTAAAGAACTTCGCGAAAAAATTTTTGCAAAGACCTTAACATGTCTAAGAAGCTTTTCTATCACAAAGTTTTTCAATTTTGCCAATATTTTTGGCCAGAATGAAGTTTAAAGCTTAGACTAAAATTGAGTTTAGACTAAAATTGGTCTATCATACCAAACTAATTTTTCAATTTGATTATACACGAAATATTCACTATGGACTACGTTATAGATAAAATGCAAACATTTTTGCTTTAGAACTATTTTTGGCAGTTTTGTTTAAAAAAAGAATCATTATGCAACATTGAAAAGGATAAAATTTTCCCCGAGTTTTGGCATTTGAAATATTTAGCATTTCAAATGCTTATTATAAAAAAATCTCATGTGAGCAAGTGAAAATTAAAAAGTGAGCGTTTCTTACATACTCTTCGTGTATGGAAATACATGATAACAATTTTCATTGTATGCATTTGCATGACAAGCAATTTTCGTGTAGGGAAAGTCAACCCGGACAATTTGTTTTGGAACTTCTAAACTCATTAACTGGGATTGCCTCAGAACGATCATTATCATGACTACGTTTCATCTAAAATCTTGAGTAGTTTGGGACTATTTCTTCCAGTATTCAATCCACCAGGACAAAATCTTCCAGGATGAAAACCTCCAAAATAGAATGCACCAGTAGACTCGATCCCACTCAGACCAAAAGCACCATATCTCAACTTATCATCAAAGGAAAATAAAAGCATACATATGATGAATTAGGAATTGAGTTTTCCGTTAAAGCTACTTCAATTCGACTTGCATATAACCTTTTGGAAGTTTTAACAGTTCAGTTTTCCTTTGACTTATTACAAGAGATCGCCTCTATCACAAAAAGTAACCAGTCACGTGGCAAAGTCAGTTAGTCAAACAACTGATGTTAATTTGCGCCATTCGACATGAGTTCAAATCTCAAATTTGTTATTTTTAACAATATGTGTTGTATTTATCCCACATGGGACAAAACACCGAGCTTTCATTGAGGAGTGGTTGCGGGATAGTGTGAAATGTAGTCCTGATTCCAAGAAATCCATTTTCCTCTATATATCAAACTTTGAAACCTTGAGGACCACTGAATTTTGGGGGAGTACTAGTTTTTTTTCAGGTTAAATTTTGGTTAATTGATTGATAAATAACACAGGAAGTAGTGCAAGTAAAATGAATAATTTAACAAGTGCGATACCAGTTTGCGTAGAATCTATTTATTCCCCCACTAGGCAATTAAGAATTTGCTGCGGCGCTAAACTTGGTTCATTTTGTAGAACACGTTCCTTTTGCTGAAAACTAACAACAGCTCCATTAAATAAGACACAAACAAATATAGCAGGTTACTGTGCCAGTAGCTCAACATTTTCCGACCATGGTCTTGAAAAAGTTTTTTTTTTTCAAACTAGTATAGACTGAAAAGGTTTCATTATGAAAGGTTACTCAACCCAGTCCAATATTTACTTATGGTTCCTGATTTTTCGCAGAAAACAAAAAGAAAAAACGAAAACACACCCGAATACAAATTCCTCCCATTTTCATCGGTCGGAACGAAACGTTAATTGTGTCTTAACTAACAAAAGGGGACAAAAAGCCATATTGAACAACAATGCATACTATAAGAATTGAGAATTTAATACCTCAGGCCCAGTTGAAAACTGAGTTTAGAACTGGTTTTAATTAGAGTTAAGTATTTGGTTATTTGAAGCGGTAAAAACATGACATTTCCTTTTCGACGCTTGATTGATTTTCAAAAAGAGATAAGTTAAAATTGTACAGCACGCCAAACTTGTCGCAATTTAACGGACATGAAACAAAGTTTTGTCAGATCAAAATTTAAGGGAAGTAGAGGCTAAATAAAAAAGTAGTTGCTCTGTTTTGCTTTAGTTGTCAACCCAGTGACATACGAGAACATAGAATGCAATGCTACCACTTATGTCTGCTACATAACTTTCGAAGCAGATTTCAACGAACTCTATGCCCACCTTGTCTGGCTCAATATCAATGTGAGTACATTTCACGGCTCTTTTCCACTCCCCTCTCCTAACTTTGGTTTTCAGTTGTGAAATTTTGCATGGTGAACAACTTAATTATTGCCAGTGAACAAATTTGTATCTTAATACCATATCGTAACATCACACATTCAGCCATAATCACACGTAATCCACAAGAAACAGATAAAAAAGAAATTTTGAAATGTCCCCCCACAAAAAGAGCCCAAATTACATCTTGGAACAATTCAAAAATAAACTGGATGGTGGCAAGTCATAGACAAAAAAAGTAGTTCTGATAAAGCGTGATTTTCAGAAACCAAGATTGAAGTGTATGCGGTTTTTTTGTATGTATGTATGTATGTATGTATGTATGTATGTATGTATGTATGTATGTATGTATGTATGTATGTATGTATGTATGTATGTATGTATGTATGTATGTATGTATGTATGTATGTATGTATGTATGTATGTATGTATGTATGTATGTATGTATGTATGTATGTATGTATGTATGTATGTATGTATGTATGTATGTATGTATGTATGTATGTATGTATGTATGTATGTATGTATGTATGTATGTATGTATGTATGTATGTATGTATGTATGTATGTATGTATGTATGTATGTATGTATGTATGTATGTATGTATGTATGTATGTATGTATGTATGTATGTATGTATGTATGTATGTATGTATGTATGTATGTATGTATGTATGTATGTATGTATGTATGTATGTATGTATGTATGTATGTATGTATGTATGTATGTATGTATGTATGTATGTATGTATGTATGTATGTATGTATGTATGTATGTATGTATGTATGTATGTATGTATGTATGTATGTATGTATGTATGTATGTATGTATGTATGTATGTATGTATGTATGTATGTATGTATGTATGTATGTATGTATGTATGTATGTATGTATGTATGTATGTATGTATGTATGTATGTATGTATGTATGTATGTATGTATGTATGTATGTATGTATGTATGTATGTATGTATGTATGTATGTATGTATGTATGTATGTATGTATGTATGTATGTATGTATGTATGTATGTATGTATGTATGTATGTATGTATGTATGTATGTATGTATGTATGTATGTATGTATGTATGTATGTATGTATGTATGTATGTATGTATGTATGTATGTATGTATGTATGTATGTATGTATGTATGTATGTATGTATGTATGTATGTATGTATGTATGTATGTATGTATGTATGTATGTATGTATGTATGTATGTATGTATGTATGTATGTATGTATGTATGTATGTATGTATGTATGTATGTATGTATGTATGTATGTATGTATGTATGTATGTATGTATGTATGTATGTATGTATGTATGTATGTATGTATGTATGTATGTATGTATGTATGTATGTATGTATGTATGCATGTATGTATGTATGTATGTATGTATGTATGTATGTATGTATGTATGTATGTATGTATGTATGTATGTATGTATGTATGTATGTATGTATGTATGTATGTATGTATGTATGTATGTATACCTGTATGTATGTATGTATGTATGTATGTATGTATGTATGTATGTATGTATGCTGTTCGAAATTTGCTCTCGGTTATTTCTTATAATCTTCTGATTTTTTTTTGAACTTTATTCCGAAATTTTACATATTTTTTTACAGGGCAAACTCGATCCACTTCTAAAATAATGTAAAAATCATACGTTCATCATTAGCATAATATTAGACAGAACTCACTTTTAAATACTCTAGGGTCCAAAAATTTTCGATGCTCACAAAATTTCAAAAAAAATCGGATTAGAAGCCGCTGACACTGCTTAACAATGTTTTTGCAAAAACTATGCTCTAATCTCTCCTTTCAAGCAAGTTTTGAGCGTAAATGTCTCTAATAATTGGGGTTTTCCTTCCAAAACTTCGCCACTGCCCATGGGACAGCTTATTGAATGCTATCTTGCTTACGGTTTCTTGAAACCGATAAACAAAATTGCCATCCGGAAAAAAATCACAAAAAATTGAGACACCACTGGTGCTTTTCCGGCTGCTTGTGTGCATGAAACGATGAAAGACGCTTTTTTTGAACTTAATTTGCTGTTTGAGTGTCTCTACGAAATGTCGAAATGTAAATTCATTCTTTTCAGCTAAAAGTGTGGTTTTTGTAACACTAGGGTGATCTGACAAAAACAAGGTGACGACAACACATACTTGCGTTTCATCAAATCTTTGCAATATGGAACCAGTTCTAAACTAGTATTTATGAACCAATTATTTTTTTGAAGGATTATCACTATCAAATGTTTATAACTAACCAATAAAATTGCATCTCTAACATTGACACTTATTTGTAAGTGCTGAAACGACTTGTAGTTTCAGCACCAGAACAATTTGAATAAAACTTTGAATACAGTTGTTCTCCTTCTGGATAAACACCAAGAACTAACTCGCATAAACCAGTGCACACTAGATCTATTGAGACTAGGAGGTACAAGAGTAAGATTAAGATTTTATTTTTATTTTTTTTCATTGAAGAATACTATATTAAACATAAAATTTCTTCATAAAAAAATTCAACTCCGAAGAACTTTTCCAAAATTGCTAATGAACAACCCCCACGCCAGTCCCCACCGACAACATCCCACAAAAATCCAACAGCACCAACAAATACCAAAAATTCCTAATCATCCACACGCATTTCTTTCCAACACAATCCATATACCTTTGAAGAAACACATGCACCATTATCCGAACCATTAGAACCAGTTGTTCGCCACGCACCTTTGAGCGAACCACAATACGAACCAACATATAACATATACCCACCTCTACAACAACATCTAAACAGAGTAAGACACATTAGCCAAAATCAAAATACACTGGAAATAAATAGACAAATCGTACATCCAAAACGAAGCATAAATTTTCAAACACCCAGAGTTCATTTCAACATACCTCAATCACCAACATCAAATCCTTCAGACCTTTCTGGTAGCACACTACCAGATACTCCGCCAATTGCTTCACAATAAAGCACTTCAAACATTCCATCGGACTACCTAGGTTCAACTCCCACATCAGAACAAACTCGAGAAAACCCTTTTAATCCCCCCAGTAACTACAGAACGTCTTCCATATTGGGCAACGCACACCTACACTCAAGGTGAACCAAATTTAGTAAACAACCCAATTGACGTTTCATCTGATACAACACTATCAACATTACCACATTACCAGAAAACACCTTCTCCAAGTCAATTATCACCAACACTGTTTACCCTAAACTTTCCAATACATCTTGATTCAAGATATCAGGAGCAATCATCCAATAACATACCACTACGATTAGACTGGAATACATTCGTAGCTCATCTGCCATTAATTGGTCAACATCAAGGAAGTAGCAGATTACACAACTGGGCACTAAATAGATTACAATATAGACAAGATATCAACAAAGATATACGGGAACATAACATCCAAATACTTCAACAAAGTAGTCTCATACTAAAATTCGAAATCACAGTAAGACTAAATAATATTGTTCGATACCCATTTCCATTAACTCCTCCAAATATAAAAGCTCAATCCTTACCTCCCCCATTTAAAACTACAGAAATAGTATATAAAAACGATAGTTGTTGAATTAAAAACAAAAGATACGACCCTGCAATCACATCACACAGACAAACAATAGGATATGTTAGGTCAAAAAGACAAACACGAAAAAAGACAATCATAACAAAACAAAAACAAATTATCAAAAGACGTTTTTCAAAACGAAGAAACGCAGTCTCAGAATCAGACACAAACTAAATACAGGACCATCCAGATTTAAAAGATTCGATAAAAAAAAATGCGCCGATAGACGACCAAATTTATTTTTCTGACTCAGAAGCTACAAAACCATAATCAATTGTAGGAAAACGTAAAATAAAAAAAGTCATCTATCAACGAACCAATACGTCTATATAATTGGAATCAACCAATAAGACATATTGAAAGTTACATACTAACAGTTGAACAATATGAAACAAGATCGAATACAACGAAAATTTCGATGATAACTCGCTACTCCCATTTTTCATAAAATCACAAAATGATCCCGCCAGGGACAAGTACAGTTTTGTTACAACCTAATCGTAATGTTATTCGAAAAAGGAAAGAGCCCATGTAAACAGGAATTTCCTGAAGTAAGAATGAAACGACAAACCTCGACCCCTATCTCAAAGATATATGTAATATCACATCACACTACGGTATATTTACAATTTAATTTGCAACACCAAAATCGAATCACATAAGACACCAAATACAAACAGACGATATAGACATAGAATTCTCCAAAATTTTTAATTACATAAAAAATATGGAACACCGAAAAATCACATTCACGAATAGCAAATTCAATTTTCACAAACGATGTATTTTCAATCATCTATAGGTATCTATCCATACTAGAATTGAAAGAAACACAAAGTGAGTCACCAACTCAAACATCCCGACATACAACTGTAAGACAGGAAATCTCTATTTTCTCAAATTTTTCAAAAAAAATCCGTGAAAAGCTCACTAGTAATGAAATCTCACATAAACATGATCTAATAAAGATACTAGCATTGTTTACAATTCAATATTTTGTCCATGACCTTGATCTCCTAGCACTATCAGGAACAAGTTTTCGACCACAAAATTCAGACGACGAAACTGTATTGGCAGTTGAAACAGATTATGTTTGGGACCCTGATTGGTCTCATCCTTTATTTTTTATATACCAACTGATATATCAAATCAAACAATTACCACTATTTCCATCAATAAAGACTACGTTAGATCACTCCCCTAACTTTTAATGCAACACCTTTAAATTATAACCCACTATTCACATAACAGGAAATAATAGCTTAAATTCTACATTCATTAATACACACGAAAATGTAATTGGAGTAAGAAATCTGACACAACAAGATATTCATCTGCATCACATTTCGTAAA